AACCAAGTATTGTGTTTTTTTTTTTAGTAATCTTATCTTTGTCCATATAAGAATTAAATTTTATCCTTTTACTCTTTATCCATTTCAGGCAAAATTAGAAACTAGATACTAGAGCATTTTATGTTGAGAAAACAAAATAATCTTGTTGTGATATTACTAATACTCTGTCCTTTACTAGGTGTTACTTCTGCATCTTGCATGTATAATTGTGGCTACTACCTGGGAACCTGTTCATGCGAAGATTCTTGCCAATACTATGGCAGCTGTTGCCCTGACTTCCACGGTAATCACAAACACTTGGCATTCTGTAAGGACAGCTACAAAGAATGGGTATAGAAAAGCAGTAGATTCACTATCAGAGAGATGATCATGGCAGTTTTAATTGTTACTGTATGTGATCTATGTTACTGAGCCCCTTACCTTTCTTGTTTTTATAGATTACTGTGCACCTTCTACAACAGGAGGATATTATACACCAGGTACCATTCCTGCTATTTCTATGTCATATTATGTATCACTTATATGCAGGTCTAGTATGTGACCTAAGCCTAAGACACCTCTAAAGTAGAACAACAGCAACAACAACAACAACATTTGCATGTAAATATGAGAAAATTCCTGTGTGATATTTCATTGCAAAGAAACATCTTCAACTTGTTTCTCGGAATTATCAAAATGCTTGCAGTTTGGTAAATGTCTGATCATTGCCTCTCCCTGAAGATTCATCATCCTGTGGAGGACACCTCTATGGCTCTGGATCATTTTCCAGCCCTAATTACCCCAACTATTACTATGACAATGCTCATTGCATTTGGTACATAACTGCTCCTCCGGAACAGAGAGTATTTTTGACATTCAACGACATTAAGTAAATATTCAATTTGCTTTGTTTTAATATGCATATACATTCCCATGCAAATTCCCTTTAAAGTGACCTGACATATTATTTCCTGACAGCCTGGAGAAGTGCTGCGGCTGTGACTACATCTCTGTGTATGATGGGCCCTCCTTGAGCTCCCCGTGTCTTGGCAACATGTGCTTTAATAGCACCACAGGAATGTTCCACTCCTCCTCCAGATACCTGACTGTTCTCTTCAGGACTGACTACACAGAGGTTGGCAGAGGCTTTCAGGCTGTTTACAGCAGTTCGCTTCCAGAAAGCTCAGGTAGTACCCGGGTGGTTATTTATATTTTTACGTATATCTCTGTTTATTGTCACAAACTTTTACTTCAATGAGGTCAGAGATAGAATGATCTGGATCTTTAGAAAGGACTGGGAGCATACCGTAAGAAATTTGTGTTTGTGTTTAATAATCTCGCAAATCTTTCAAAATTTTATTGAAATAATATATTTTTAAAAACCCTATTGAACTTCCCATTTCAGGAAAAGTGGACTGCTCTTCCGACAAAATGAATATAGTAATTCAGGCTTCCTACCTCAGGAGATTCGGGTACAGTGGCAGTGATTTATATCTGAATGACCAATACTGCAGACCTCAAGTGTTTTCCTCCGAGACCATCTTCAACTTCCCACTGAACACATGTGGTACACGGCAAGAGGTACGACACTAGTTCAACCAAACAAAAAAAATGTTTTTTGGCATAGTTTGAAATTAAGTTGTATTATTATCATATGTTTCATTAACTAAAATGAGAAAATAACTACCAAGGCTGTCAAATTCACTAAATTCTGGTTTGCTATAAGTGTTTTACATTCAAAAACCTGTACAGTACTCAGTGTTGACAATCTGACACACTGCTCCCTTAATCCCAATTCACTTGGCCAGGTACTTGTGGAAAAAAAAGGGATTCTTTGCTGATTGTGTGACATGATTTTTTTTTTTCCATCGGACAGTCCAGCAATGGTAAAATCGTCTACACCAATAACGTGAGGGCTTCCGGGTCAGAAACTGGAGAGATCACACGTCTGTCGGATTTCCAGTTGCGGGTGGGTTGTTACATGGAACCGGACACCACAGCCCATATTATGTATGAGGCCCTTGAGCAAGTTAACGGGAACATCACAGGAATCGGGAAGTTCAATGCCTCCATGGTCTTCTATACCTCAAGCGACTTCTATCACCCAGTGTTTGACTCACCCTACCGGGTGACTTTGAACGAGAACCTATATGTGCAAGTCCAGTTGCAGAGACGTTCCGACAGCCTGGTGTTGTTCTTGGACACCTGTGTCACCTCTCCCTATGAAGATGACTTTGAGACTCGGACATATGAACTGGTCCGCAGTGGGTGAGACAGGTTTTGTTTTTAATTTAGTCTTTAACACTTTATCTAGGCAGTCTTCCAATTTATAGTATTATGTATTTATCAAATGCTATATTTCAGTGTTTTAGTGTCAATATCCATCCATTCACCCATCCATCCATTTCTATACCTATTAACAGGCCACATAGAACACAAGGTGTGGGTACATTCTGGATAGGACACCAGGGTGAATGTATATGATTATATGTATTACTTATTCAAAGTTATCGAATTCTGGGTGATCGGCGGTAAATCTAAAGGAGGAAAAACATTTGCGAATAATTATCATAAGGCTGAACTTATTTTATGATCTTTTATGTTATCTTGATAGAAGACACTTAGCCTTGTTTGTCCTTGTCGATTGACTCTCCTTTTCCTTCTCTATCAGCTGTAAAAAGGACAACAGCTACTACGCATATAGCAACATTCCCAGAAGTGTCGCCCGCTTCAGGTTCCAGGCTTTCAAGTTTCTGCGCATGTATCCTTCTGTTTACATACAATGTAAAGTTGTTGTGTGTCAGGCCAACGACTTCAACTCACGCTGCACTCAAGGCTGTCGGACCCGTAAGGCAAGGTCCCTGAGCTCTACTCATGGAGACGCAACTGTGATCCTGGGGCCCATCCAACTAAAAGGTAAATGTTGTCCTTCCAAGAACATCTTTCCATCCTTTTTCTTCCATCTATTTTTCTTTTCTATTTTGTCAGTACAGATTAGTATGAACGGATCAGTTTTAGTAGCATTAATACTGTCGCTGTGACCCTGCTTTTTATGAAAGAATGGTTCTTCCAGTGCTGTGTGGTGTGATGGGTTCAGACCCTGAGCAAGTCTCTTAGCCTCCAGTTGCTCCAGGGACACTGCATGCGAGCTCGACACTGCATGTGAGCTCGAACCTGCACTGTAGAGCAAGATGGGTTTGTTGAAAAGAAAATATTATATTGATGAATAAAGTGTTCTGTTCTTATCTAGCATAGGACTTCATATACAATGAAATACAGTGGTACCTCAGAACTCGAACTTAATCCGTTCAGAACTCAGGATTTGAACAGTTTTTCCCCCTAAAAAATAATGGAAAACCAATTAATTGGTTCCCGGCCCCAAAAAATTACACCTAACTATGTTGGTTTTTTTTTGCATTTAAACACAATAATAAAACAAGAAGATAAAGAGGATAAAACAAGAAGAGCGTATACTAAACACATCTAAGCACATTTATCAAAACAGTCATTTGTAAAGTAAGAAAATAAATGCCATTTGTAACATTTTTTTCTTCATGGCTTCCAAAACGATAAAGAATGTACCCCAACACTACCACAAGCCATGCCCCAACACTGCGCTAACACTAGACTATGCCATGCGGTCCATTGTTTATTTTTATTATTACTCTGTATTCATTAATTTGTTCGTAAGTCGTAAATCGTAAAACTTTTAGGTTGTAACATTTGTACAACTATTGCGTAACTTTTTGGTGAGCATTGGCTACCAAAATGATATAAAGTACAGTGTATTACCTGATATTTTCAATAAAAAAAGCACTATCACCAACAAACGATGCAATTACAGTGAATGCGAGGCTGAGACCGAAGCGTTACCCTTTCTTTCCAGCTGAGAGACAGGCCGCGTGACTCATTTCCCCGCGTGTACAAGCTTAGGTCGGCGTTCACGGTTTGACTTCTGAGATTCAGATCAAGTTCTAGGTCATTTTTTTTCGAACTGGTTTGGCTTTTAAGAAATTTGAGTTCTAATGAGTTACTGAGGTGCCACTGTACCTTTGTGTATATATATATATNGGTGTGATGGGTTCAGACCCTGAGCAAGTCTCTTAGCCTCCAGTTGCTCCAGAGACACTGCATGCGAGCTCGAACCTGCGCTGTAGAGCAAGATGGGTTTGTTGAAAAGAAAATGTACCCTATATCCTCCTGAGACCCAAGGAAAGAAGTGTCCTTCAATTGTAGGTTATTTGCCTTTGGAGGAAATAAGACATCTTACAATTTAGATTTTTTTCAAATTTATTCTTATTTTAATTTCACAGCATGTCCTCTTTAGTGCACAACAAGAATAAATACGTTTCCCAACATCAGTGAAAAAATAAATGCAAAAATACAATGTCCACTACAATGGACATAAATGAATAGGTCGGGTCTCAGGAGGATATTGGCGAATAAAGTGTTCTGTTCTTATCTAGCATAGGACTGCATATACAATGAAATATCTTTGTATATATATTGCAGATATATACATATATATCCCAGCTCACTCTCCATGAGACAAACACACAAGTGTCCATCACCTGTGGAACAGTTGTGCTTAAGGGCCTTGCTCAAGTGTCACCTACAGTATGAGATCATTATTTCTGCCCGGCGTGGGATTTGGCCTGGCATCCTCCAAATCATGGCCACAAAGTCCTCACCTGCTGAACCACACACCAACCAATTAGTTAAATCAATGTGCTCTTTTTTTTTCCAGGTACTCAAGACACAGATGCAGGAGACGCCATTGATACAAAAGGCTGAGACACGGCAAATAACATCACAATGTTTATATTGCCTACAAAATCATTCATATTGATAGTTATCGAAAGCATTTAAAGAAAACCATAATAACTTACTTTAAGATTACAGCATTTATAAACGTTTATTTTATCGCAACGCACTGTATAACTATGATTAAAGCATTCACAAAGACAAGACATTTTGTCTTTTCTTTACTGAGTTACTACTAATGTATTAACAAGCTGTAAATCAGCTATAACAGGTGTAAATCAGCTATAGTTTGCAGCTGTGCTGTGTGTTATTCGGAACTGCAAAATGCTGTCCAGGTCAAAAGTCAGCAGAAGGGTTTGAAACAAGGGTATGCAAATTATGCTGTTAAAAATAGTTATGTCACGCAAAATAAGCACAGCTGTTGTTGAAGTGGAATCTTTCATTACCTGAAATCTACACGAAACACATGCATTGGATTAAACAAGTGAAAAAAAGACATGAGACGGAAGTCATGCTTAGAAAGCAGAGTTGCCTGACATCTATAACATCAGCAGCATCTGAAAAACATTCCTTGCTCTCGTAAAACCTGCAACTAGTTAAAATATGATCAGTTTAGTAGCCATAAACACCACAATAAAAAGCACAGCTGATAGAGGATGGTTTTATACCACATTACTGCAGTACAGTAGTTGTCAAAGTGATGGACAAATGATAAGCTATGATACCTTTGTCACAAAAGCTACTAGTTTATTTTACTGTACAATTACACTGGCTTTATCCTGGATTTACAGTATCTCTGATTCTTTTTGAGCATGCCAGTGCGTGAAAAAGTTCCCCATAGACAGGCAATCCTTTATAAATGCAGTAATTTACTTGTCCATCTATGCGTATTTCTACTTGCTGGTAAAACATCACTGTGCCTTTGTACTGTGTTGTCTACATTTCCCATAGCAAGTTCTCTCATAAATCTGAGGTTCCTTGTGGCAGAATATTTACTGTCCTCCTCTACACAAATAACCCCAGGCTCAGAACCAATCAAGTAGTTTCTTCCTCAACCCGCTGCCCTTTCAGTTTTAGATTATTTGAACCAAACTTTTGTGTTTATGTAGGTGATCTCATAAGGTACCGAACTGCACAGTCTATGCATTACAGAAGTACAGTCCATCACAGACCATATATGCTGCAGGCCAATTCAACGACACCAATTCATCTTCATGTATTTTTTGCATTGTGAAGAAACTCATGTAAACCCCAAAAAAGCAGATATACCAAGATGCATCAGAGGGGCATGGATTCCGTGGAGAATTTAGTGGGCCCAGCACTTTACAGGGGAATAGGAGGGCCCAGAATTTGGAATACAGCAGCAATACTTTATTAATCCCAGTGCTAAAATCATTCTGCATATCCCATCTTGGTCTCCATGAGACACAAACACACATGTATACACAGATGAGAGCAGGTTTTTGGGCTGTTAAGCATCTCTAATGCATCTTTTGCATTGCAATGTTTGTTACATATTTTTGTGACAGCAGATGGCGACAGAGGAAAAGAAAAATGCTCAAACGTTTAAACCAGGAGTTAATTTTTTTTTTTACAGAAAGTTGAACTGGACTGATAAACCAAGACGCATCTGTCATCATTACATATGGATGCATTACATTATTTTTCATGAAATCATTAACAGTTTTTGCTAGTTAATTATTAGTATAATGTCCATCTGCTACATCAATATAATTAAATACCCCAGTCTAAGGCTGTATCACATTACTTATTATCCCTGTGTAAGTGAGTATTGCTTTTAATTACTCCATAAACTTATTTTTAAAAAAAACTAGTAACACTTAAGGTCGTGTTACAAACACATTCATTACAAATAATAATCCATTCATAAAGCATTATAAACATGGCTATAAATATTTATCATAAGGCATAACACATTATAGCCATGTGTATTTTGCATTATGAATGCTTTATGAAGCTCTCATCAATAATGCACTATAGATACCTTTATAATGCATTATAACCGTCGGTATAATGTGCTATTCCTTTTCATAAATATTTATAGCATTATGAATGTGTTTAGAAATTACTAAAAACTTGTGTTACCAAAAAACTTTATAAGGATACAGTAATACAGATATATTGCTCCCTAATATAGGTATAATTGATAATTGTAACTAAATTTTTAGATGGTTGTAGAAGTTTTAGTCCGAAATGCAAATACTCTATCAGTGAGTGAAAGGTACGTTTGTATATGTGATATCAGAGTAGAGCATAGCAGAGGGTCTCAAGGAGCAATGCAATTTAACCTTCTCCCTGTAACCATGTCCCGTATAATTTAATGACGTGCATGTGTAATTTTCATTTTAAACACTAGATGGAGTGCTATGATAATACATAACTTGAGAACACGGTGACAGACTGGGATCTCCTGCAAAATTCAACGTTATATTACAGTATTTACAAACTATAAAAAATTCATAATAAAAATAAACAGGCCAATAAGTCTTGTAATGTGTCATGCTCTTAAATAACTTGCTATATATAAAAAAAAAAGATTTTGAGTACAGTCGTGCTAAATAAATATTACTTTGATTATTGACATGCTTATTAAATATTAAGTATCTTTATAGTAAAGGCTGTTCAAGGTAAGGTTTTCTGCTTACCTTTGGTGAGTAAAACTGTGTGCCTGTTTATTGAACCCAGTTACCACCGAGACCATCAGTTACAGAACCTTCTAATGGCTTGTAAGCACCTTATAGTATTGTAGTCATTTAATTTGAGGTTTTTAATTGGTGATATTTAGATATAAATTATTTCTTCCCCTTGAGTATCAATAATTTAATAGCTAAAAAAATCTGTAAACCAGCTTTTTAATAAAAAAAATCTCTTAAAAAAAGTTTAGTTGCTTTTAACAGTTGACATTGTGACATATAACAAACATATTATTTTAAAATCATCCTAATAATTACAATAAAATGTCAGTGAGAGCTATTGGTATTTTTCAGCTTTTGACCTGCTTAATTACATGTTCAAGCACAGAAGACACTTAAATGTTTCACAGTGAATAATTTGCCAAGATCTCATGCATGTTGACCTAATTAAAAATGGGCGACTTCATGATGCACCGTTATTTTAATTGTCTGTGAGGCAGGTTATGATGGAGCGCAGTCTGAGATTAACTGCCATTAATACATGGGCCACAGCATATAAAAAAAAGCATGTAGTTCTTAGTGTAAGTACTGAATGAAAAACTGTAAGGAAAAACTACTAATTCCTGCTAAATCACATTGTGTTTCATTAAAATATGGAGTTCTTACAAATAAAAGTCATTTTAATCATTATTTCTTATTTTTCTTATTATTGCCTTCAATTGTCTCAAGATAATGTTGTCAATTTTGTGTTTGGAGAAAACCTAATGTTTTTAATGTTTTTTATTTCTCTCATTTTACATTTTGTACAAGGATTAATATCAATGTTCCATATTTTAGTGCTTTTTGCATATTTTCATAATTTTGGTTTTACGGAATATGATCATTGTTAATATTGTTAAGCCATAAACATATGTTGGCCATTATGACATACAGATATGTGGTTGTTACAGTTTTACATTTTTGAATCACTGATCTGACATAAACGCTACCACTACAAATTGCACCTGCTTTTTAGGAAGTGATAGAGTCGTCCACTTACCCTAATTCACATTTAAAGGGCTTGAATTAAAAGGCCTCCATTCCTTCTAAACTGGTTGATTTATGTGCTGTTTGCAGTTTTATAGGACATGAAACAATTAATTTCCTTCTGAAAGGAATTGGGAATTAATTTTGAAAAGCCCCGGAGCTTTTTTTCAAGACTCCAGTCATATGCTGGGTTCATTTAAAAGCTGCATTGGATATCAGCCCTAAAGAAAGGTTTTTTAATTCTTGGAAAGTGGGTCTATGGTAGCAGTAGTCAGTAGCATGTCTACTTAGTCATTACCACAAAAAGGTGATGAAGGACCCTGAATTTATTCTTCTTGTTTGGAGTCTATTCCTTGAGATTCTCTGCTCAACATAAAGCATTTCAAACAAGAGACAAGGGGGGAGGGATTTACAATAAAAAAGTACAAATTAAGCTTTTCATTCTCCCAGCACTTAATTTCCGTGGTACTATGCCAGACCCTGTCTAATGAATGTAATTGCTGCCTTTGATGAAAATACTATTATCTGCTTCACACTTTAAATGGGCAAACAAGACCCCCCCCCCCCCAGTTCTTCCCCACCCCCTCTTTTACCCTGACTATGAGATCTCTAATTATGCAGGGAACAAGTGGCTTTTCACAAAGAAGCATGTTGTTCTCCATTGCTAAGAATTGCAGAAAGCTACATTTGCACAAAGGACAGATTAGGTGTGATATACGCGCCACAAAACCCATTTCCTTGATTAATTTCCTGCAGCTTCCAGTTTTTATTTCCTCTCACTTACATTTTGCTTTAATAGACAAACTTCTGGCTGATAGACTGATATCTGTGTTGACTACCACTGATTTATTGACAAGACAGCGCAAGTATTCCTCAATATGTCCCAAAAAAACTAGAAAACTAGAAAGAAAAATCAAACCAAATCTTTACTAGATATTGCTCAAACAACAGCTTCGTCTTTCATATTCAACCCTTGTAACAAGGAAGGGGGCTATTTTTAGTTTTGTTTGACTTTGACCTCTTTTCCTAGTCTCTGATGCATTCACCAACTGAAGAATCACAAAGAAACTAAATCTATGACTGCATTTCAGCAGAAAATGCCTACTGTGCTAGACTGGACAGTGTGCTCTGATCTTAACCATTTTGGGTTTGTTTTTGTCATTTGAGTCACATACGTGACATGATGGGTTGACATAAAACTCACCGTAATGTACAGTTTGTTTGGTGATTTCTCATTCTTGCTACCACACACACTTGTTTTTCTCTTCTTGTAATCTGTGAAGCATAGTTTCACTTTTTATGTCAGAAGAGTTAAAGCACAAAAACCATGGCCAGGTAGTCTGGTCACATGACCTGAAATGGTTTATGTCATTTGGAATGGGCTACCATCCGGACTCAGTCAAATTGGAGAACGATTAGGCAATATTTTTGATTGAAGTGGCATTTTACCA